TTTCCACTGTTCAAGAAAATCACACGCAAATATTATAAAACTCATCAATATTCAATTCAACTCATACAAATGCGTCATTGAAAGAATGAGTAATAAAACTATGAGTATACAACTAGTTTAAAAGGAGGGAGAATATAAATATGAGATGGAAGGTGGTACCGTTCCAATAGGGATCAACATCCGCAGGAAAAATACAGGCAGAAAAATAGATAATCGGCGATCGGATCGAAAGGAGCAGCGGCTGTAACAGGTGCCGCGTTTCTACTAGATAGCGCAGGAAACGCAACGGCCGGTCATTGTCCAAGGGCTCCAAGGGCGCGCCGCTATAAAAAAAAAACCCTTCTATCGCATCTAAGAACGCGGCGTATAAAAGGAGGGCTCTGGGAAAACGGTGAGAGCGGGAGAGGGTAGGAGGGAAAGAGGGAGGATGACCTTGATGGATAGGGTTGTCCAATGAGGACCCCGTAAAAAGAACAAGCCGCCTAGATGCGTGAATTGTACAGCACCATTGCTATCCCGTTCTCGTGTAAGTCACTTTCCCCACCGTGCGTGTGAATATGCGTGTGCGGGCGTGACCGTGTGCAACGGTTATACCGGGTGTCCGATCTGTCTCGGCCGTAACTGAAAGAGAGAAACGGGATTGAACGAAACCGCTGTTTTCCGATTGTCCTACTCGATTCTTCGTATTTTTATTATACTTGCAGTTTAATTTTTGTTGTTGCAAGGTACAGCCGCTCTCTGACAAAAGTTCCGTAAAAAAAGCAATTATCCGAAACGGGGCTTCTTTATTCACAATTTCCAAACTAAAGAAGAAAAGAAGCTAAAACGGATTGGAAAGGATTGGAGAAAGGATTGCAACTCTTTGGAAAGTAACCCTTTGGCTATAAAAAAAAAATCTGTCTAGAGAAATTCTGCTGTTTCGAAGGTCACATATTTTATCTGCAACTGTACCTTCCATCACAGTTGCGCATAAAATATGTGACTCTTGTTGTAGACTTTTGTATAAGCAAACAGGCGAAATAAATTTCAAAATAGAGCCGCTTATTTTACAGATTTCACAGACTCGTTGCAAGTACTATTCGATGAATCATGACTTTTTTTTTTTTAATAATTATAATAAGATAATTTTTTTACATTGATATAATGCTTATGATGTATCGCTCAAAACAATAAAATTTTCGAAATGTATTTGAGTCTTTAATTCAAAAGTGATCCGTAAAATTTTAAACTTTTCATAATGCGAGAATAAGAAAATCAATATAGTATCACTTTGATTAATATTGACCAAATATTGTGACCGAATTTATGTATTTTTTCATAATTCATTCAATACGTGATGACTTTATTTTCTTGTTCTCCTTAGATAAGGATTTACAAGTTTATCTGTTGAGACATATAGTCTATATTTCTTCATAAATTTCTAAACTAAAAGAAAAGGAGATAAAAAAATAAGAATCGAGCGCGGTAAATATAAGCAAAGTAAATATAATTTTATTGAGTAAAAAACGTAAATTAAATAAAGTAAATAAATTAAGTAAAAAAAAAAAACGAATAAGCCTCGCATATACTTAATTGGCAGACACCGCTCTTATTTGCATTTTCCTTCTTTCCTATTTTGAATGTTAAGAATCCTATTAATATTTATATAGACACATTTATATTTCAGGATCGAACATCAACTCAGCCAACAGAAATTTAAGTCGAAACTTAAAAAAGCTTCAAGGCAGTTTTTCGACGCCAAACGTGTCTCGATTTTGCACCCTTCGTATTGTCTGGGAAGTAAAAGAAAATCTTTACTTTGACGTAAAATCAAAAATGATAATTTCTTATTACTAAATTTGTACTGACTGTTCGTTAAGAATTAAAGTAAAGTCGTTTTGATTTTTTGTTCACTTTCATGTGGCTTTCCTTGGGCGAGATGAAGGAAGTAGGACACCCCGTAGTTAACTGCAATCCAGAGCCGGTTCAAAGTTTCTACTGTAGGATCGAGTTGGCATCAGCAAGATAGCGTCCCTTCACGTATGCAGGATGCATGCACCCTTAGAGTGTACAGTCGGGTGCGTTAATGATGCACAGGATGCACGGGTTGTGGCGGTTTCCTTCAAGCGGCATGCACGAGAAGCGCGTCTTTACGTAATTGATCGCAATTCACGATTAACTGCGTGGAATTAATCACGCGATTTTACTGTCACGATTGCTCGCGTGAAACGAGAGCTCTCCATGAATGCATCATTAATACGTCCGATGACATCAGTTTTCTTCGTAATTGCGGAACAATAGCATGCTCGAACCGTCGTAATGCGTAGATACGCTCTGACGTTCACATTTTCGCTGCCCGAGAAACACACAAAAATCAATAAGAAATTAAAATGACTTTGTTTTGATTCTTAACGTCGATAAACAAAAATTTATCAGAAATCATCACTTGGACTTTTATGGCGTCAAAATAAAATTATTTTCACTTTTTCTTGACTGTTTATTATATTAACGTTAAGACGTTTTTGTTACATTCACACGAAAATAAAGAGTTTTCTGTGCATCCGAACAGCTCTGATGGACTTTTTTATATTTTTCACTAATAGATTCTTTCGAGCCTTATTTTATATATTTGTTTTTGTTTACTCTTATAGGTTTCTTGAGTGAAGGCACTTCAAGGTATGTCGTTATTATGGAATTTATTCGGAATAAATTCCCCTCCCCCTTCAATCGGAATTATTCAATTATTTCCTAGAATGTTTTCTAAGGAAACAACAGAATGATTCCGATCAGATAATACATTCCGAATAATTCCACGGGACAGTTGCTATCTGGATATTCAAATAAAATTTTGTTTATGCTGAGCAAATATGCATTACAGAACAACCTTTAAAAAGGAATTTGGAAAAATTTCTTTACCCCCCCCCCCACACACACACACGCACACACACACACACAGAATTGAGACATTGTATTGAGAACAAACGCTGAAAAGTTAAAGCATAAAGTAATGCCCATAGATAGACAGTTTTTATAACAGCTATTGCTATCCTTAAGCTATTGTTAAAATATTGTATTCAGAAAAATGTATATTTACAACTTTCGTATTTTTTTATGTATTTATATATCTTCTTTTTTGCACTCGTTTTTAGAAAATTGCGATATTCTATTTCTCTACAATTTCGTACGGTAATTTCGTCTTTCCGAAGATCGTTACCAAGTTTCTTCGCAAATTTAGGAAAGAACATTCCTCAAAAAGGAAAGGGATAAAAAAAAAAGGATAAGGGTGATCGTTCAAGAACCTTGCCATAAAATCAGAATACACGTCGACAAGATGACACATAATATTCGCACAATGAAAAAAATAAGCATAACGTATAGGCACGCCTGTTATACTCGTATTGTTGCGACCAAAGAGCGAAAACGTTTCTTTTCTGCAAGGAATTTCAGAAAAAAAAAAATCACGTGTATAAAAGGATACGAAATGAATAAATATGCGAGTCTGCAGTAAATATCTTTTTTCTCAAGTACGAAAAAAAAACATGATAAAAAAGGATTGAATATCACCTTGTTTAACACTCTATCTATAGTCTACCTCATAAATTCCGGAAAAACAGAGATTGTTCCCAGGATTAGATCGCAAATATTCGAAGAGGCATCATAAAAAAACTAAAGTACGAAATAAGAATTATAGCAGAATATACGAGAAAGACATTCTTTTTTTTTTTATATATTCATATGAATGTATTTTTTATTATTTATTGCTTTGTCCGAAATTTATGTCGCTTGTATATTAAGAAAATAATATAGATTTATAAATTTGACATCATAAATAAAGGAATTAAAAGGGCAAAAATAAAAGCTTACTATGTTAGAGATAATGACATTACATATTTTCCATGTGCCCTGAATTATACATACATACATATAAATAAATAAATATATATATATATATATAATACTGATCATTTTTATAGAGGCGTCATAAAAGAGTTCTTGCACATTGCGTTTAATATTCTTTGTATAAATATTTAACCCTTTCTCTGCACATAAATTTTTTTGTTAAATTGAAAATATACAGGTCTGCTATTTCAATGTCGAATCGATAATTTGTAGTGAAAGAAATAGTTGGTGGTAATGGAGGAGAGGAGAGTGGAATAATGGTACACATATGTACCATTAAGGTTTTTATTTGATACCTATATATATATATATCACAGGTAAGAAACAAACATAGTATGGGTGTATACGGACTGGGACGAAAGAATTAAAAACCTTTTCGAGATTTTAGCATGCTTTGTCCTAGATTAGGACAAAGACAGTTATCATAAATCTTAGACTTTCCGTGTTTTTACCCTTTTTTATACAACTCTTTTTTAACCCTTTTTTTAAAGGCATTTTTGCGAAACAAAGGTCCTGAGAAAGTTCTTGATTCAAAGGACAATGCCAAAAAACGAATGTTTCGCTTCCGAGAGAAATAAAATAAGTCTTTCCGAAAGAAGAGGGTATACCAAAATAATAAATTAAAAAAACTTCTGAAAAAAATTGCCGAATAGTATTAAACTGATTATACTGGTCAAGTCGCAGTATTTGAAAAATAAAGTTATGCAACAAATAACCAGGAACATAAAATTATTTTGCATAAAAAATAGTTTTCGAAGTTTTTTCAAAGTATATGGGAAATTAGTCTATCAAACAAATTGGTCCATTGTAAAAATTACGAAAAAATTACCTTATTCCAAAGTTATTCTTTCAGTAAACCTACAAGTATATTAAACATTTTATTTAGCGTTTCATAATATGCACTATAAAGTATAAAGGATAACAAATTTTTTTAAAAACATCTGCTTTAAAAACAATACATTTTAGATAAAAAAAGAAAATGTTTTAGCTACATGATTAATACTATTCTTTTCTTAAAAAATGTTACATTTTATACGGGAATACGTATACAATCATAATCTCCGTAAATAAATAACTCGGATAGTAAATAATATAAATTAAAAAATATATATATGTTGCAAACGGCTTACAATACAATTTATTTTACAAATATTTAATTCGCATACTACAACTCTTGCACATACACTTTTTACTTATATGTAATAGATTCTATCTAGTAGTAATATAATGTCATGAGTTTACGTGTGAAATAAATACTGGTCAACTTTTTATAAAAAGGATCGAAAATACTAGGAGCAAATTTCTTTAATCTATTGGCGGATCTGTTTGAACGGTTTTGCTTTCTACAGAACATTCTTTGTTTAAGGAACCGTATTTATTTGCAATATTTACTATTTCTCGGAGAGTAGCGTTCTCTTCTTTTAAAGAATGAAACGCCTCCTTCTCCTTCAATTCATTTTCTTCATCTAAGGCAGCAGCAGTTTTCATTACAGCTGCCATTTCATTAATTTTTTCCGCTTGACTGGTTATTATCTGTAAATTAACGAAATATACGTTATTAATAAAATACACATAAACGTTATATTTCTTATTTTTTATTTTTTTTTTAATTTTCTGTTAGATTAATAAGAAAATCTATTTTATTAAAAATAGTAAAAATTTTAGATAGAGAATTACAAAGCTTATTATTTAAGAACAAAAATCTTTTTACTTACATTAGCATATTTCGAATTATGCATCGATGAATAATCAGTTTTGTTCAGACGCAATAAAGAGGCAGTTTGTTGTCGATATTTGGACATTATGAGCTCAAGCGCATGCTGGTGATCTTCCAATGCATTTCTCAACTCTTTATTCTCTGCCTGTATTTCTCGCAAATGTTTATTTTCCCTTTGTATTCCGGCGATCAGTTGCAAGTGAGGTCTTTGCTTTGCTTCTGTATTTAAAATTTCTACTTCCTCTTGATACTGAAAATGTAAAAATAATTATAAATATATAGCAAAATACAATATATAAATAACAATATATAAAGACATATTGTAATATATGAATATTTATAAAATATATATTTAGTATCTACCTGTTTCATGTTATCAATTTGTCCACATACAGCCTCTACCTCGCTTATCAAAGTATCTGCAGTATTCTCATGGTCCGAAATTCGAATGACCAATTTCTTGGCATCCAATATAATCTGCTGAAACGTCAACGACATCTGTAAACAAATACAAATTCTATTTATATACAAAATAACAGTTATATTATATAATTATTAAATGTGTATCACTCAATTAACCACTAAAGACTATTAATTCTCAGGCACTAATAAGGGGAATAAAATTGTTATAGCAAACAGTACAATGCAAGTGCTTCTGCTTTTCGATTACGTATTAGGATTTTGGCCTTTAACATAAAAATAAACAAAATCATTGGTTTTCCAAGTTAATACTCAGCACGCTAGATGAAATCACAAATCCAAATGATCCCATCTTGATGCCTTTCACATTCTACCTGGTCGTCACATGTGTTCTCTTCTCCTTCGCGCTACTTCCTTTCGCCTGCATCAAACTTCTTCTCGAATGTGAGCAAAGAAGGGCCTGTTGGACGCGTCCTCAAGGGAGACCTCGAAGCGAGTCGTCGTCAACTTCCCGAATCATATGCGTGCTGGACGAGTACGGTACTCACCTTTCGGGATAACTGAGAAGGCGACTCGCCAGATTCAGGCGTTCAGCAGTGACTCGCGACTCCGTGGAGCATTCGGGGCGGATTGATCGCCGATGACGACGCCGAGGTTATGCGAGAACGTCGTCGTTCGTACCAAGACTCGACTCGCCTCTGAGGACCGTTCTGCGTGTCGTGCGGTGATTTGATCACTGTGATCCCGTCTCGTGCTCCTTGCGTATCATTCCACCTTCACGCGGTGGTGTGCATGTATACACGTCAGCTGTGTGACGCCATAAAGTTCTTGCACACAAAATATATGTGCGCGCGCACGTGTGTGTGTGATATGTGCCCATGGAACGCGAGGCGATCAACGATCCGAAAGGAAAATGGCCGCTCGCGATTTGACATTTACCGCGAACGAGAAAAGGAGCTTACGTCCTCTGCTCGATCTTTTTATAGAGCATTGATCTAACGATGTTTCTTTGATAATACACGATATGTAATACATAGCTTTGAGACGGTATGTAATACATCACGGTAAACGTTTACTTTAACCTTCTCTTGACAATTTTGATAAAAATACCTTCATTCAATGCACTCAGTGTATTTTTATCGAGATTAAAGGTTAAAGTGAAAGAGGGTTAAAGTAAAAATTAACCTACGTAGCGAGAATACAATAAAAAGGTAAGAGGTTTCCTCGCTAAAAAATAAAACCTATCTCGGCATCTCAAGCACACACGCGAGACTTTATCAGGGATTTAATCGTGGTGGTCTTCCAGGAGGAAAAGAGAAAAACAAAAACAGAGATGATAGGAGAGAAGAGGGGAGAAAAAGAGAGAGAGAAAGAGAGAGAGAGAGAGTCTTCACAACATTCTTTTTTTGCTTTTTTATTTTATATTTAAATATGGCGCCTCGTCCTGCGGCAATTACGGCTGATTTCAATTCGTCGACAGCCGCGAGTCGCGAATGCGTACGTCAACGAGGTTCAGTGAGGCTGCCAATCAATTTACGTTTCTCCGCGAAAGGAAGGCGCCGATTGGTCGCCGCGTCGCGAATCGCTACGTCCGCGCGAGTTTCCCATCTCGACGTCGAACGGTCGACAGCTCCTGCATCGAGGGATGAGCTCTTCTCGGTTCGAATGATTTATTCGTTTGTTCCACGTATGAAGAACTGCGAAATATTTGGCGACCGAGGCGTCGACAACGGGACCGAGTTACAGCCGTCGCCGAACGTAAGGAGAAAGATCCCGCGCGAACGCGCACGCACCTCGGAACGTCACTGACGTAATAATGTCCACGAGTGTTCTTTAGATACGCGATCTGCAGCGTTGAGCGCCCGAGTCTCCCCCAGTTTCAGTGCTCAACGACACGCGACGACGAGGGACGAAGGACGGCGCTGCGTGTGGCCAGTGACGTGAATGTAAATAAACGCTCGTAGATCGCGCGATCTCCGGTAAGCTGACAGCTGTATGATCTCGCGATATTCCCGTGGCCGAGGAGCGTTATTGAGATAAGAAATTACGTGATATATATATATATATATCTATATACACACACACACATCTATATATATATATCGACGCGATAACCGTTAGTCGCGCGCGCATACACATACGAACGCAATTCGCGTGCGCGCGCGTGCGGACGCTCGTACGGATCGAGGCTCGCGAGAAGGAGCGAGAGCGAGGGATTATCTTTTTCTTTTTTCCTCTAACGCAAGAGCGCGCGCGCACTCATACACGGTCCCGCGTGCGTTTCCTGGTGCGCGACCCAGTCGTGCTACCAGTCAAGCCCAGTGAAGCCAACCAAAGCCAGCCTGGGCGAGTTTGATCTCGTGTTTTGTTTCTCGCGCGTGCGAGCGTGCCGACAGTACAATGTTTCGAGCATCGCGCGCTTCGTGAGAGAATCCGAGTCTTTGCCATCTCCCTCATTCTTTACTGGACGCGGAGGCAAGAAGAGGAAGAAGTCGAAGCAGAGTAATAAAGGAAGCGAGCGGGAAACGAAAAACTTCCAACTCTCTCTCTCTCTCTCTCTCTCTCTCTAACTCCCTTATCCCGTGACAATCCGACGGGTCCACAAGCGTGAGAGATAGAAGCACAATCGGAGGACATCTTTTTCCTCGACTGCAACCCCCCCTCCCCTCCTCCCAGCCGCCTTGTGAATTGCGCGCGAACGGCATCGCAGGATGGCATCGTCCACGGTGGCTGTTTCGTCGGGAGCTACCTCGGTGCCGACGGTGACAAACGGCAGTAACGGCGGTGGCGGCAGCAGCGGTGGTGGCGGTGGTAGCAGCAGCAGTGACAGCAGTAGCAACGGTGGCATCGTCGTCACGGCTGGCACCGAGGAGATCGATGGCGGTGATATATTTGGTGAACGGAATAATGTCAACTCCGTCGGTGGCTACAACAACAGCGGAAACCCTGGCGATGCCCTGGAAGAGATAGCGTGTGGCAACGGAGAAGCCAATAATCAGGGCTGTGCCCTGTGTATGAGCAAGCTGTGCTCCCCCAGAGTACTCTCCTGTCTACACGTGTTCTGCGAGGCATGCCTGGACAAGCTACTCATGGACGAGGCTGGGGATTCCAAGGTGGGCTCTGTTATAAGCTGTCCTGTATGCCATCAAGAGACTTCCGTTAGTTCTAAGGGCGCCGCGTCGCTCACGTGTGACTATGTTCTCACTAATATATTGGATATGTCCGCTATCGAGAACATGGCAGTACTATGTACCTCCTGTAAGGCCAAAGAGAGCGCCGTGGCGCGTTGCTCGGATTGCGCCAATTTCCTGTGCCCAAATTGCAACACGGCGCATCAATTCATGCGCTGCTTCGAGCATCATAAAGTAGTTGCCTTTGAAGATTTGAAGCAATCCAACGAAGCTATCCCAATACACAAGCCAATCTTTTGCGAATGTCATCCTGCTGAGAATATGAAGTTTTACTGTCATACATGCCAGGTAAGTGAAAAATAGACAAGTCTTTTTATATTTAAGTATAAAGTAATATTATAATTGTCATCTGGCATTTAACGTGTACTAAGAAATCAAAGATTGATCTTACCATTGCAACATCTATAAATGCTCAAAGTAATATTATTAATGCATTGTAATTTAAATTACAAATATAATTTTTTACAATTTTTAAATGTATATAAAATTGTAAATAATATTTGATGCTCTTGATATATTGGCTTGAAGAATGTATATTTTCTTTCATGTATAAAAAGAGGAGTTAATGTCAGTTAACATTTATAAATGATTCATACATGTAATTATTTGTTGAAAGATAAATAAAGTAGTTATCATTTAAAAAAAAAAACAAAAAAATTTATATTGTAAAAAAATGTTTAAAATGTATTTTTTATGTATGAAAAAATATTTTTGTGCGTTTATATATTTTTGTGTATATACATATTGTACGCCTATTGTAATTATATTAGTCTTATTATGTTTTTAATGAAATTGTAATTAAGAAGTATTAAATTGTATGATATCAGGAACCTATTTGCAATGAGTGTTTGCTTGTGGAACACAAAGCACCAGAGCATCAATATGAACGACTGACAGATGCAGAACCACGACAAAAAGAAGAAATAATTAACCTGATGACTGAAAGCAAAGTAAAAATGACTGAATGCGATCAGGTTACAGTACAACTGGAAAATGCACTTAGTGAGCTGCAAGTACAACACGATCAAGCAAAAGATTTAATTATGGAAACTTTTCAAAGTTACAAGGCCATACTAGAGAAATGTAAAGACAATGCTTTAAGTGAACTTGAAAAATTGCATTCAAACAGAGAACTTGAAATTATGGATGCTTTTCATAGGTATATATATTTAATTATAGTTATTTTAATTGTATATCATTATTATTAAAAATTAGAGATTAAGATAAAAAATATTTATATTAAAAAGGATAAATAGAACAAAATTTTTAGCAATAATATTTGTCGAGAATAGACAAATTCTGTCCTGTTGATAGAGAAATCTTTCTTTCTATGAACATTCTGTTATATTTGAAATTTTGTTGCAGTGTTGAAAAGACTGCAGAAAAAATAGAAGACGCTTGTCGTTTTACTTCAAGATTGCTAGAACATGGCGATGCAGTAGAAATCTTAGCACTTCGACGTATTGTAGGAGTGCAATTGATGAACTTAATAAAAAATACACCAAAACATAATGTAACATTCTCTATTGAATTTCAAACCGACTATAATCAATTTGAGAAAACTGTAAAGGTAAATATGTGCATAATATAATACATTTTATTCAATTATAGATTCTTTTATCCAGTTATATATAACAACCATTGTGAAAAATTATTACAGGAAGTGTTTGGAAAATTTCACACTGAAAGTACACTAGAAGTGAAACCTCATCCTGAACCAATCTCAACAGTATCGGGTGTCTCTACAAATCAGCAAATAGTTCATACCACTTCAATGGGTTGTCCAAGTTCTATTAGCACAAGCTCTCCCATTTCACTTCCCACATCTATGCAATCCTCTTTTGAAGGTGAACCTTCATTCATTATTCCACCGACTTCAAGTCCTCAAAATATCCCACCTCCTCCACCACCTGTACCTCTTCCACCAGGTTCGGTTCCTATTCATGGATTCACTAGCATTCAAGAATATAATCTGCAACAGCTGGCCAGTTTAGCAGAAAAAGTAGAGATGGTAGGCGATACTGGTGTAGTTGGACCTAGCTCGAATCCTAGTCCAACTCCGTCCTTTACTTTGGCAGATTTATTTGCTGGAGATCTAAGTTCTACGAGCCATGCCATTAATAATCTACAAGCTCTTGCAAAATTAGGAAATACTCTTGGTAATCAAGGTAAGAAATATAACATTAAAGATTTATGAATTTGTTCTAGTAATACCAATGTCCTTCCCTCTCTTATTTCTTCCAGACCTGATCCCATACATTTCCCGATTTTCCCACAAATTCACAGGTACTTTAAGAACTATATTGAGAGATATTTTATATACAATTTAAAAAATGTGTATTATAGGTGCTACATAATGTTTTATTTTATTTTTACTGTTATTTTTACTGTTTCAATTATTTTTGTATGTTACACTTGCTATCATCAAAATTAGAAATTTCTTTTGCGTAACATAATTATGCTATTTCGTCTTAAATGACATTTTAAAATACGTCTTTAAAATATATTTCGACAGGAGGTAATGCAAACTCGGATTGAAGTATTGTATTCTTTGGAAGATCTTAACTTGACAAATAAATTAAACTGAATTAAGTTGCAAATTTGATTTTCAAGGGTCAAGTTTTTGATAGGATTCATAAGATACAGAATAACTTTTGAAAGATAAAATTAAAATCGGATTTAGCATTATCTCTATTTTATTTTAAAGTTTAATTTGAAAGAAAATAATTGTATAATAAATATAAATGCATATTATTTAGCCCTTGAAATATTGATATAGTGAAGAATTATTAGTATATACTAAAAGATTGACGAAACATGTATCATTATATTTCTGCTTACTGTATATTTA